GTTACTTTAAAAAAAAAAAAAAAGTCACATATGAGTTAAAAATTGGTTTTCAGAACATTTTGAATTTGGGATCTTCAATTGGCACTTTAAATTCATAAAGATTCACTCATATAAACCTAAAAATGTGTTATTATATCTACTTGACGGACAGAGAAAGCAATACTCAGCATTTCACTCTCCCTGAGTGACTTTCTATTTTCCTAACTGAAGGCAGGCACGGTGCTTGACCATCTAGTGCATGTAATTCAAGAATGGGAGGAAGTACAAAAGCCACCGACCCTCACTCCTTCCCGTTGGCTTTTCACAAGTGAAATTTACCTGTCCATTGACCGAGATGATCCCACCCTTTCCACAGTCTCAGTATTATAACCTTCAGCTAGAGAGAAATGCAAGCTCTTGTGGTTTCAAATAAAGAAACGACTCGAAATGGACATTTATGGTAGAGAGGACAACTCCAGAATGTGCTAAGTCACCTTTGCTTAACCAATTTTAAATTTCCTTAAGCACAGATGTTGACCTTGTGCTTTCCATTCCACTTTCTTATTAAAAAAATAGCCTTGACACAAGAATGCAAAGGCAGTGGTTGCTGTTTTCTGGGTAACAACACTGCTGCAAGAGCAATGCAGGGTTGAGGTTAAGAGTCAGCAGGACCTGGATTCAAACATGGCTCCCGGTTGACCTCTACATCCTCAAGTCCTGGTCTATCTGATGCAGACACGGTGCTGCACCCTCTGCTTGGTTACAAGCGAGGATTCAGCCAGACACAGGTGATGAGCACTAGGACAGCACCTGGCTTATGCTAAGTGCTCCGTAAGTTATATATCTTAAATTGCAATCATCATTTAAATAACTAATAGGGTCAGTTAGACATAGATGATAATACCTCCTATCTCGAACCTTTGTCTTGAGAGCAACTTCAAGCTGTGCTTGGCTAAAATGTGTGGCCAGTCAACGCTTTTATTATATCACAAAATCATGAAGAAGTATCCTCAAATAATATTTAAGTTTACCCTTATCTTTTAAAAAAATTATGTGAGACTTCCTCAGGTTAAGTTCCATGTGAATAAGAAACCCTCAGCCAAAAATGAACTTTCGCTGAGAGTTCACAGCTGCAGCACCCTGTGACAGGTGTACTCCCGGGCAGCAGTCACATGTTCAAATGCTCGGTGAGTCAGAGTTTCCTTTCACGAGCACACAAGGTTAGAAACAGGTCACATGCTCTGAGCCAAACGACTGCTCGCGCTGAGTGTATCATTCAAAATCTGACCTTTGCTGAAATGTTATTATGTCATTCCCATCATTTCAATATGAAGGGAGATTAGGAAGAACTTCTTCGGATTCTGGAGCCCAACCGTTCTGGGACTAAACCCATAAAAGCTATTTAAAGGAGGCTGAAGATAAGCAATTCATTACTATTTCTAGTTTTCTTTAAAGCTCAATTCCCACAGACATAAACTACATTTATTCCTCAGATGTAATGTTATTATTTCATACAAAAATTGAAATAGAACTTAAGATACAAAAAGCCATGTAAAGCAAAAGTAAATCACAGGAAGAATCATAAATAAAACAGAAACCATTAGAAATGAGCTTTTATTTTTTTCCCCCTTTGCTTCTGTCTGGCTTTGTGGGGAGTTCACCATCTAGTGGAAATTCTCAGTAAGTGCAATCTTACTGCCGCTGCTCAGTGTCAGACACCTAGAGACTTTCCCATCTGGTTTTAACAATCTGTAGAGAAAGATTCCATGCGCAGTATTATAAATGTTGTTCGCATGCAGTTAAGCTATAGGAGCTGATGCCTATACCTGTACCATTTATATTCTAGAATTGAACAGAGTGTTTTCTGCTTTTTCCAGATATTGTCCCATTTTTTACAAACAGAACAGTATTTTTTGGTGCAATAGCACAGAAGTAAACCTCCATAAATTTTCATGTCATACTTTGAAAAGTTTTACTTCCAAAAACAGACTCAAAGTTACAAAACCTCCAGCTTTAATTAAAAAGCAACAACTAAAACCATGATGCTTTTTTCTCCTCTGGAGTTCTAATCACATAAGAACATGTGGTAAATGAGTATCTTCAGATCATAGTTACTGTTACATGTTTCTTTCATGTACGTAATAATTTGATTTTAATAAAGAAGAGAAAAAATGCATTTGAAGAAAGCGAACTTTCAATTTTTGTACTGTTTAAGACTCAAGATAGAGTAACAAAATTTCACGACAAGATGCACTGTGGAATGAGTATTGAGTCAGCAAAGGACTTGCAGATGGTAATGTAGGGGCTGGTTGGTTCCATTTAATATATATGTCGACATCTTTTTAAAGAAAATCAGATAAGTGATGTGATATGGATAGCCCTCAATAATAGTGTTCATATATACACACATGTGTAGGTATTTAGATGTATATGTGTGGGGATATATAAATATATATATATATATATATATATATATATATATATATATATATATATGGTGATACACTTTACCTGTGTGTACTGTTTTAAGAAGACTCAGAAGGATCATCAATTTGTGAAAGGTTATAAAGGTAGCAAGTTCACATTTATACTGTGAACAAGCCAAACAACTTCCCAAATTATGGTACTTCATATACATAATTACTAAACAAAAGATGAGTTCTAAGGTCAAACTCCTCAAATGAGCGTTAGTAGCACTGAATGGTGAGAAGGTATACCAACAGTGTAGCTGTGAGAAGAGCCACTTAACATAAAACACACAAGTACTGTGGTAGGCAGAGTATTATAATTTGAAAAATAACTTGCTTTCTTATTAAATAATAATTTGTCTCTGGAATTCTCATTGTTCAAATGTTCCCACTGATACTTTTATGAATCTGGAGTGGTGGTGTATATTTGTATTGAGGAATGTTGTTTTGTGCCCATTAGACATGTATAATACATTTTAATAAAATAACCTCTTTGTTCAAGGGAACTGAATTATTCATTATTTTGCCAAGTTCTTTCCTGTTGGAGCTTCTCACAAAGCACCCCCTGACTGTTTGACTTTCTAAATAGCCTAAGTGATTCCAAACTCTCTTTTTGCAAAGAGAAATGGATGTTAGAACTGGCGCTCAATAAAGAGATGCTTGTTTTCTCCCACACATTCACATCCTTCAAAAGACTGGTCCAAACCACAGGCCAAGAAGTTAAATGGATTCTTTGAGTGGCAGATTAGATTGCTGCCTTTTTTTCTCCAGTGCTGTATGCCCATACCGCTAGGCACACACCCGTGCACGCGCACACACATAAACACACCAGTCGTACACTCTAAACTGGTGATCTGCTCTAAGCTTTGAGTTTTGCCTGTAAGAAAGATCAGGAACACAGGAATCCCAACTTTTCTTCCTCACAGCCTACCCCTGAGCAGCTAACCCGTGGTTCCCAGTCTGAGGCTTTTCCTCCCAGGGACATGTCCCATGAGAGACAAAGTAGAAATAACAAAAGTTGATTCCAGGCAAGGGGCTTTTCCCACACTGCTGCTGTAGAATATATTCCTTTCAGCACAAGCCTACATGGGACCTGGATTTGATTTCCTCTTTTAGGAAGTGAGGGAATTGGGTAAAGACATTTCTAATGCCCTAGGACCTTAGTATCTATTTTTTTAAGTCACTAAACTGTGGGATATTGTACTTCAATATTAGCATTTTCTTTTTCTTCTAAATCCCTGTTGTTTGGGGAGACAGTATACCCTCAAAGACTCTTTTACTTTAAATAGAATACAATTTTGACAAAGCCTTAACTTCTGGATTTCTTCTACAAATGATATCTACGCTGCTGGATGTAATATGTGTGATTACATCTGTGTAATATGTGTGAAGCTGAATGAGTGTGATTAACAATGTCATGGTGAATTAGGATACAGCACATTCATTCTCTCCCCCTGGCTTGATGTCCCACCATCATTCAACCCACAGGAATGACTGAGGTAGACTTTGTACCGTAGCTTTTCCATCCAGTTCTAGGAGCTCAGCCCCATCACCCTGAAAAAACCCCTCTCACTCCAGCTTGCACTTGGCATCTTCATCGGACTGTCTACTCAGCTTCTTCACCTTCAAATCTCAAGAACAGCAAACCAGTCCTCAGGCCCTGCTTCTCCTCCCCAGGCAGTCTTTAAGTTTTCTCATAGAACTTCTCACAAAATTATGAAAATTCACACTATTCCTCTCAAACCCACAAACAATTTTCCTATCAATTATGAATCGGGTGTTAACAGATACGGGAAATTACTACTTATCTCAATCAGAATCTAGTTCTCCCGTGCCATGCGCCAATTCACGGGTGATCTTGGATCAGCACATCAGCTCCCTCCTACTCCCTTCTCCCACCCACTTCGGAATGGCATTTACTCTCCTGACTGTTTCGTTCTCATCCTGATTAAGACCTGGACCAACCCTTCTAGGGAGACCGCTTGGATCATGCAGTAGTGGCAATGCTCACATCGCAAAGACATTGGCCTGCTTCTTATATCTTTATGACCCCCTCACCTCCATCACCATCCTGTAACTAATGCATCCTCATTGTAACAAATGCTTTCTGCCTCCAGTGCAGAAAATCAGCCTCCGGGTTTTTGTGCTGTTCGTCTTAAACCATTATGTAACCTCATCTGTTATTAATGAATAATAATCGCCCCCAAAATATTTCCCATTATTTCAAAAGACTACCAAAATTTAAGAATGCATAACTAATTTTATATCCAAAATACCCAAAAGAACATAAAAGTTACATATCTACACATGTTTTTATTCTTCTCTGAAAATTAGGACAATAGAAACATTAGTTAATACACATACCCAAAACTTCACCAAAACAAACAATAAATGATTATACTTTGTTACACAGATGACCCTAACATAACAGTATCCAATTAATCTCTTTTAGTCACATTTATTCTCTTAAAAAATACAAATAAAATTTCAGATTGCTAAAATGCAATCAAAATTTGAAAGCAGAACTACTAGCTAGAAAATACAGTCACTTACCGATGTGCACATAAATTATTAAGGTGAAGTCCATATTTCTCCTCAGCAGATAACCCATCCATCAACAAGTAGAAAATGAGAAAGTTGCTTTGGCCAAGGGGTTGTGAAATGAGTCTGGATTTCTCTAGCATATATGTATAAATTCTGGCTGATTAAGAAAACAGAAGTGATTCTGTTAAATGGCATTATTAGTTTCATTTCCATAAATTTACACATATGAGTTAACTGCAAAGATAATAGTACAGCGTTTTTTCAAACACATACCTCTTCTAAACAATATTAATAGACTTTATTGTCAGAGAAATTTTTTAGGGTCAGAAAAATTAAGCAGAAAATTATGAGAGTTCCATTATGCCCTCTCTCTTCCCTCTCCAACATACTGTTCCCCCTATTATTAACATCTTGCATTTGTGTGGAACTTTGGTTGGATATAGCAAGACTGTACACAAATGGAACCATTATTATAGTGCTGTGCCTGTTATAAACATTGTAAGTGGTCAATTTAGCCAAACACAATGATTATCAATGTTTTAAAAAATCTCAAAATTAATAAACAGTATTAAGAAAATTAATATTAGACACCTTTAGAAAAGTTTCCAAAAGTGCATAAAGAAAGATACTTCAAAATACCCCTTTAATTCAATTAAAGTTTAAAATTGGGATGAGATGGTATAGTTTCTTTTCCATTTCTCCACGTGTATTTAGTCAGGTGACTAGCAATTTCAAGCTGAGGTCTAAATTATTAAATTTTATTTCTTTGTTGCCTTCCTAACTATATTATTTGCGAAAACATTTCCTATTTAATGTTAATAATATTAACCACAAAGTAATTAACTGACCAAGAGGACATTTTAAAAAAATCTATACACATAGGAAATAAGCTGCGGTAGTTGTTCCCTTCTGTTATTGTCTACTCATCAGCTAAAGAAATATCGAGTGAGAATAAGGGGTTGAGGGGTGACTTTCTGACCATGGTGCTTCTAGACTCCGAGAAAGGGTTGGCCTTATACCCATTTTTCCCAACCAACATACAGGCTTAATTTAAAGCAGTATTCAAATCTAACTGAATTCCATATCAAAGAGTGGCTTCAATACCTTTCATCTAAATTCAAAAACAGTATAATTACTAATCATCCTAGTTAGCACATCTCCAGCAGTGAATAAAATTGCTGTGGATTAGCAGGAGTCTGATCAGTAGCATTTTTTAAAATATGTATCTTGAAGGAGCTTTTAGATGGAAGAAAACATAAACAAAACACAAAATTCAAATTTCCATTTGAGACCTTTTATGTCAGAAATATTCTTGACTAGATATATACTTGTCACCCTGCATCTTTTCAGTAATCCACATGAGAATATATGTTTCTCAAAAGGTTTGGTACCATAAAATATATATATATATATATATATATATATATATATATATATGTGTGTGTGTGTGTGTGTGTGTGTGTGTGTGTGTATGTGTGTGTGTGTTTACAGATTTTATATGTAGGAAATGTATTTTAGAGAGCTCCAATTTGTGTTCAATATGACATAAAATAGAGGATATAAACTTCCCTCTCCTTTAAGAACAACAAATGCCTGCCTTCACTGCTTTTTTGAATTCCAGCACCAACTCTCACCCTGCCCGATTCACCTAGTTATAAATCATGACCTATTCCCCAAAAGCCCCATCATGCCTTCAAGTAGCAATCACCAGAAGCATACTATTGATTAATTAATATAATCAAACATTCTCTTTCACACTTACCCATTTCTGTTGACTTCATTATTAATAATCATTAATTCTAGGTTCTCAACTAGGAGTCAAAGTATGGGAACTGGTCCTGAATCAGACACTGCCAATCCCCATGCCCCTCTAAACTTCTCTTTCCCCATCAGTAAATGAGGGACTAAAAGATACAAAGGTCCCAGGCTACCTGTGGACTCCGAAAGGGAGGAGCCCCCAGTTAGAGCCCTGCTGTATACCAGGCACTGGCTGGGTGCTTTTCAAACAATGCCTCATTTAAATTCTGTTGTGAACCTTTTTTCTTTTTTTTTTTTTTACATTAAAACCCAAAAGACTTATCTCCAAAGCCCAGGCTGTCTGCACTAAAGGATGCTGTTCTTCAAAGGAGATAAGATCAATTAAAGCTCTCTGAAGCTTTTAAAAGAAAGTCCAATTGAGAGTATAATACCAAGGATAACTGATGATAATAATGAAGATAAAGACTATCTTCTGGTTTGTTTTTAAAAATCAAGATTTCACAAAAGACAAGGCAAAAGCCTTAATGTATTTTCCATTTCATTTGTGTTAGCTTTAAGTTTCTCAAATAGATAGCATAGCCTTGGCATATTCATTGGGAGACATTTCCAATCGTTAGTAAATTTCAATATCTACTTAAATATATGCAAGTGTCTTTGGGGCACAGAAAAGATAAGAAGCCAACTATTCTTCACGTTTTACACGTGGACTCTGGGTCGTCTTCCCTTTGTAGACCCTTCAGCGTATTTCTGCTTTGCCCATTCCAACGTGATAAACTGCTCTATGGAAAGAGAATATGGTTCTATTCTTAGCAGACACAAACTCTAATTATGAAAAAAAAAAAAAACCTTGGCTCTGATTTAAAAACTAATCCAGAGTTAATTATTGATAACCTCCCTTATCTATTTCAGTAATGTGTCCTTCGTTGGCAGGAATCAGTGCATGATGGTTTTTCGCAATTTCCTCCCTGAACTGAATAATGACTGTCTCAGTTTATTGTTCCTTTACAATGCCCATTCCTTAGATTCATTAACCCAATGGAGAGTTAATGCATGTTTACTACAAACCAGGGCAGACAAGATCTCTGCCATCAATGGACTTCACCCCTATAGCTCTGGGACAGGAACACACTATATCCCATCCATACATCAACTCTGTTTGTTCTCTGCTAACAGGCACTGGACACAATAAATGCTGTCCAGTCCCTCCACTGGACTTTAGAACCTCCGGTCAGCAGGTAACAGAGTCCTTCGTATTTGAATTCAGAGCATGTAAAGCAGTGGGCAACATCTTTAGAATAATCTGGTTCTGGTGTCCTACCTCAGGTCAGGCTATTTTAACATGGTTGGTGTCACCTCTTCCATCCTGCTCGAAGGCGCCCAGTGTCAGGGTGAGAAAGCACTTGGCAATCACAAGGAAGTAAGGTGGAAAGTTCTTGTGATTAAGTGAAAATACTCCTTCTCTGGAACACTCACCAACTTTTTAAGGTATGCATACTACATCTGTGTACGCATGACCCTTTCCACAGTAGCAGATATTTGAAAACAGCTGTCATATTTCCCTGAGTCTTTTTCTCTTCAGTGTAAATGTGTTTACTTTCTTCAAAGCTCGCTCCAAACACATGGCACTTCAATTTTCACTTCCCTGATAAACATTTTCTGAATACATGCTTTATTTTTCCTCTTAGATACAGGAAACAAAGAACTGAACTCCCAGTCTGACCTCTTCCCCTACCACTTATGTTCTAGGCATTCTGCTTCTATTAATGTAGTCTCAATTAGCACTGGCCTCACTTATTTGTTTGCTGTTTATTTGTTAGTAGCTGTTTCATTCATAAAATTTTTAAAAACCTCCACAATATCATTTGGCCAGAATTTAAAAAAAAAAAATCAGGAAGGAAGTACCCAACAAAGATAGGCACTAGGAATTGAATTAAGGGCTCTAATTAGGAGAACAGAATGAGTAGAAAAACAATATGGGAAGTGGAGAAAGGTGGAGACTGCCTACCTACCTACATGGGAGCCTGAATTGCTGTTTTCCTAAGAGGAGAATAAATTTGATTATGCACAATGCTCAAAGTATACAGAAATGATGCTCATCACTCCTTAATGATTCTAAGGGCACTGTGGAATCTTGAAGTGCCTCAGGTTCATCTTTATGAATATTTATTATCGCTGTGTCACCGTGTGCTGCCTGCAGAAGCCGCGTGAGAGGTATTTGTGGATGCGATTATGCTGAAGCTGTGTGGGACTGCGTGCTAATAGAGACTGTGGATTAAAGAAGCCTCCATATGTAAGTGCTCACTGCAGCGTTTTCTAGTGCTTTCTTATATGTGTGTATAAAAATTTTATAAATTAACATTCCTGGAGAAGAGGACATGTCAAACTATTAAACAAAATCAGTAATGGGTAAGACCTTCATAGCCATTTAATACATTCTGACCTGGGTAAAGGGAGTATCCAATGGAAAGGGTGGAAAAAGTCATGTGACTGATACCCAGACAAGCGATTTCTCCTTTAGGCCAGTTATGCATCAACATGAGTGTCCAGCTTTACTTGGGTTGGGCTAGAAAAGCGCCTCTCAGATTTTAGAGTCCCAATCAGCAGGTCCGCAATTGGGCCGGGGTGTCTACATTTTAACAAGCTTCAAATGCCTCCCATGGTACTTATCTTTGGGTCACACATTGGAGTGACAAGGGGTTGAAGCACAGCTTTTGGAATGTCCTACCCCCTTCACTTCTATGGCTCCAACCACTGGCCACTAAAAGGCTCAGGGGGAAATTACGGTCACAGAGTGTTCAAGCTGTGCCTTTCACCTGGAGAAACAGTTTCACTGAGGTGTCATAAAAGCACACATAAAGACATCGGTGCCTTAAGACCTTTCTCCCCTGAGGTCCCCCTAGAGCAGATCTTCAAATAGAGCTCTTAGCCATAGATTAAAATAAAAAACAAAAAACTTTCCTATTGCAAAATTTAAGCCTCTGCTCTTGACAACCAAAATTATCTCTTTTTATGCCCCTTTTATGCATTTTTTAAACCAAATTTCACTTAGTAAATATCTGATTTTGACATAAACTCAGGAAAAATACAGATTTTTGTTTCTAAACTGTGGTCAAAACTAACTTTTAGTTTCTGAAGGGAAGATAAAGTAACTTGAAAATGCCAAATAAAATTGATATCTTTAAAAAATCATTAAATTAGCAAATATTTGTATGCTAACAGCTATTATAAAACTTTTGTAAACTAGTTGATTCCTCTAAGTAGACTAGGCATTCCATCTGCAATTATACTTATATTGTTCATTTGCATGGATAATTTGTTTTGATTAGAAAGATGTAAAATTCTAACTGAATTCCAAATGAGTTGAATTTAAAGTAGGGGGTTTTCATAAAGTACACAGTAAATATTTAAACCAAGAAACAGTCTCTTTGGGTTTGGTGGGTGATTACTGTAATATTTTGATTTGTTTTAATTCAATCATTTAAAAATATAGATTCCATTCTGTTTCAAGTAGATTGTAGTGTGTGTTGTATGAAGAAATTATATACTCACATTATAATATATTTTGAGTACATATTTGAGTTCATTTCTATGTTCAGCAAATATGATTAATTTCAGCTCTTTTTGGTTTGGTTCCATATTATATAGTTTATACAATAATCATCTTAAAAACTCACCTCTCATTTCAAAATATTATTTTTAATTCAAAACAATTTTAGAACTCATAACCTGAAGGGTCAGATATGCCCGTGCATGTGCACACACACAGGCATGCACAGCATTCTCTGTTACTGCCCTGTGTTCCTCTGCCCTCTTCTGGTAGCAAGTGAGACCTCCCTTTGCTCATTTTAAACTTACCTCCAGTTAACTGTTTTTTCCTCTCGCAGAATTGCAGTTCGAAATACTTTATGAAGCAACTGGACAGGTCATTAAGAGTTGTCTTAGCATGTCCAAAGGCCTCTAAAATGCACGTGACCTAGAGTAAAAGAGGACCATTTATTGAACTCAGTTTTGTGTTGTTGTTTTTACATAAAACTAGAGAATAATAGCAAGAATATGAGAAGTATTCCATTATCTAAGAGGTTCTCTATTGTTCATATAACCTCTTGTTGGATGTTTGAAGTCCCTCTCCTACAGCAAACTACAGTGGTGTTCTTATGCGTGGTTTCACTTTTCCACAGTTTCAGTTACCTGGGGTCAACCATGGTTCAAAAATATTAAATGGAGCCCAGCCAGTGTGCTCAGTGGTTGAGCGTCAACCAATGCACCAAGAGGCCGCTGGTTTAATTCCTGCTCAGGGCACATGCCTGGGTTGCGGGCTCAATCCCAAGTAGGGGGCAGCAGGAGGCAGCCCTCTCACATTGATGTTTCTTTCTCTCTCCTTCACCCTTCCTCTCGCTCTAAAGTCAATGCAAAACATATTTAAAATATATATTCAATAGAAAATTCCAGCAATAAATAACTCATGTTTTAAATTGCGCACTGTTCATGTGTAACGTGATGAAATTTTCCGTCACCTCACTCCATTTCACCCAGAAAGTGAATCATCCCTTTTCTAGTGTATCCGCGCTACATATGCTACATGCCTGCTAGTCACTTGTAACCATCTTGGTTATCATATCAACTGTGGGAGCATCAAAGGGCTTGTGTACAGTAACCCTTATTTTACTTAATAATGCCACATCCACATAACTTCTATGAAGATGTAATGTTATAACTGTTTATTTTGTCATTGTTGTTAATCTTTTATTGTGCCTACTTTATAAATTAAACTTTAACACAGTATGTATGTATAGAAAATGTACACATTGTCAAGATGTGTGAATCAAACATCATATATATATATATGCTGTTGTGGCTTTGGAGGGAAGAAATCAAAGTAAAAGTGATAGAATATATTTTAAAAATAATAAATGCACTTAAATACTGGATTATAACCTTCTTTCAATTTTACTTAATTTACACTCTTTTTCAACACCGAACCCCTACATTATGCTCCCTTCACCTTGTTATGGCTTCAAACCAACCATTCTCTCCCACAGAAACAAGAATAAGAATTCTAGATGAAGCCGTGTGCCCAGCGTTTCTTACTGCCATGTGTTCTCTTTCAGAAGGGAGGAATTTGAGGTTTTAAAATTCTGTTAATAAAGCTCCTCAGATCAACCTGGCATCTGAAATTCATTCTTGAAGTGTTTCTTTAAACACTGACTATAGAACAAACACAATTTATTCTCATAATTTTTTGTGCTTGTGATAATGATTATGACCAAGAAATTCTCCAAACAGCATGAAAATATGAAGGTAAAGTTGTTTTTCCAGATAAAAATAATATTAAATACAGTTCCTGCATCAGCCGCAAGAGGGAGCACAATAACACCTCATCATAATTTCAGGTAACAATATTTTTGAGAATTTTAATCTAAATTTAAAAAAAGAAATTTTGCTCCTATTTTTTAATTTTCTGAATACTGCTAGACCAAGGCATTCAATTTGCCTGGAAGTACTTTATATTTATAAAGATTATGAAAAACACTTTGATGTTAATCAAGTGTTGAGTTGTGTTAATAGTGAAATATATAAAATATCTGTTTAGGAAGTTTGATCTTTTGAATAGAAACATATACTAAATCTTTACCAAAACTCTATTATTTAAGTCTCTTTAAAATAAACTAATTTTAAAGATCAAATTAATTATAGTAGTTATGGCAGAAATGTTTTCTCAAAAGGAATTACAAATAGTTTTTATTAAGGTCCTATTTTTGCTTATTTTACAATACTTTAACATTACATAAGTATATAGTGAAATTCATAATGCAATTATATCACTTTTTTTTACCTTTTTAAGATCTTTATTGTTGAAAGTATTACATACGTCCTCCTTTTCCCATATTAACCTCTCCAGCCCGCTACATCACAGCTTAAACATTTATGTTATTACATTAAACAACTGTTTAAAATTCACTAAAAGGATTAGAATGTTTTAGAATATTTAATACTTTTTGATGTTGTATCAGATAACAAACTGAATTTTTATTATTATATAAAATGTACATAAAAGATAAATAATGACATGTACCCAAATAGGAAGTATAGGGTACTTGTTAAATGTATATGCTTTGTAGTGAGAAGTAGCTGCAATCACATTCTTGTTCTGCTAATGACAAATTATATCACATTGAGCAAATTTAGGAAATTTCTCGAACCTCATTTTCCTTTATTCTAACACAGGGATAACTCCTTTGGTGGTTGTAAGTGTGTAAAGCCCTCCAATTGGTACCTGGCACACATTTAAGATTCAGCAAATAACAAAGATTAATTTTATTTTTTTGTTAATAATAATAGAAATGTAGATATATAACTTCATATATAAATATATGTGTGTATTTATGTATATAAAGTTATATATGGATACTAGAGGCCCAGTGCACAAAATTCATGCGAGGGGGGGAGGGGGCGGGGTCGGGGGGGTATGGTCCTTCAGCCCTGCTTGCACCCTCTAATAATCTGGGAATGCTGGCTCCTAACTGCTTGCCTGCCTGCCTGCCTGATCACCCCTAACCACTCTGCCTGCCTGATTGCCCCAACTGCTCACCTGCCTGCCTAATCGCCCCTAACTGCCTCTGCCTGCCTGCCTCATAGCCCCTAACCCCTCTGCCTGCCTTCCTGATTGCCCCTCATATTACACTTTTACTATTATAGATATGTAAAGTTTTACATATACATATGAGCATACATGTATGTGTGGATATATGTGTATGTGTATACATACATTTCCTTTTAGTCCTCAAAAGTAGTGTGTCTATTTTAAACAAAAGAAAATTGAGAAATTAAGTAAGTTTCCCAAAGTTCAGAACTTTTAAATAGTGGAGCTGAGATTTCAATACAATCTCTCTGTGGAATTAATGTGTTCAATCACTGCATCATAGGGCTATTACTGCTAGAGTAACAGTAAACAGTACATACAAAGCATAAAACTAAAACCATTAAACAAAATATAAATACTCACATGGCATTCTCTCATTATGTATTCTAAATTCAAAATAACCAGTGGCTTTTATCTAAAATTAGCCACTTGGCCAATAGGTGGCACCAGACAAATGTGTTAAGAGAAATACTAGAAGAAAAAAAAAATAGTCCACCATTCAATTTGCCTTTGAGACAAAATAATGAGAGTGATGTACAGTAATAAAACTTTAAATTAAAAAAAATGTAGGCAAAGGGAAGTAAGTATATATTTCTTTAGTACTTACTGACTCATTTGATTAGCATGATTTTTTTTCCTATTTACATTGTATAGTATTATTTTCCCATAAAAGTTTAATAATTATGCTATTAAAAGTTATGCACTATTATCATGGTAGTAGTTAACTTACTGTGTTTTCTAAAAATAAAAAAATCTGTGGCCCCCTCAATACAAAATAATGGCTTAGTCAATTTGACCCTCTAATTCGGCTCTGTAAAAGCAGTCACTCAATAAGTGTCTAAATCATTTGACTAAAATCTAATGTTTCTTAAAGTTGAAACTCTATTGTTTCAGAATTACTGAAAAGTTTCATGCAGTTTTCACTCCCCCAAAAAGCATGACTTTTATGTTCCAATAAACCATGGAAAATCCCCTGCTTCCACAGTATAAAACTGAAACACAGGGATTCTAAGCAACAGCCTTCTACAGTGAGCTTATCTGTTTTGAAATTATACAGGGAAACAAAAGCAACAACAATGGTGACAGGATCCAAACCCCCCTGCCCACTGTGTAAATCACAGTCAGAAGCCCATTGCAGAAGCAGAACATAAACCTAAGCAGACTTTTAAGATGGGGCCACTGGAGTGTTAGGCTAAAATCCAGAAATATCACAGTTGTGTATCCCTAAACAGTACATGCGGTGCCTCCCTAAAATGACTAACGTCACCTCTGGAGCTCAACGCTTGCCTCTCCCTCACCTTCCTGAGAGCAAGTAAATCTCTCTTCCTCTCTGCACCCTCTTCACGGAGGGCACTATTTACCATGGCAGCATGAAACATACAAATGGCAGCTTCCTCCCAAGCCCATTCATTTTGCCCCCCCCCCACACACACACACACTCCATATTATAATCTTTAATTTGCAAAACCTTAATTATGCCTTTGATGTAAACCACAAGGAAAAGGTTCTCCATTCCTCAGCCTCCACACAATTCTCTGCAGAAGACCATCCTAATATTCTTTCCTTAAACGTCCCTACCACTCTTGCACTCTGTATCTGGTAACTGCTGATAAGAAGAACCTTCAAAGGCTGTTTTTGTTTCACACTATGCTAAGAAGCAGGGCAAAACTGTTTGGGCTAGATTCGCCCAGTGTTTGCTAATGGAAGACACCCTGTGTATGTCAGTTGCACACATCCCTCGTGGCAGCCTCATGCTCCGTGTCTGCTGGCGTGGTACCTCAGAGGGATGTCTCACCGTCTAATCTGGCGGGACTGGCTCCCTAATTCAGCCCACTTGCTTCGCTCCTTTCAGAGCCATCCAACGCATCTCACTCTGTACTGAGCATCAAGCTTTCTACTAAACTGCTCCATATTTCAAGGATGTTCTTTTCTACTCATCTCCTTAATCAGATTTTCCTTTCATGCAGCTCATCACTTAACTGTGTGTAATTTCACTGAACTCCTGTGATGTTATAAAGATTTACCGCTGATTCATAAATGTAGCCAATGCTTGCATGCGATTTCCAGATATACACTTGGACATTGTGCAAAAAAATGTGCTAATGTTTTGGATACTGAATAATATTCATGCAGATAACTTAAAGGAAGAGCAAAAAAAGCATAATGGACATGAACTTTAAGCCATACTCAAACCTGGGAAATATTATTTGATGAGATTAGAAATCACTTATTTATGACATCTTTAATTTGCCATGAGAAATGAATACAAAATGAATTAGAAATCGTCTTATGTAAAATTTCCATTGATAGTATAATATCGATTCCAAGATTCTAATTAATTTTGGAAGAGTTAGATCTATCTTGTCCAAAGATATTCAATTTGGAATGTATTCACATAAGCTAAAAAGCAAAGCCAATTTGCATAAAGTAATCTAGAATGCATTTTAGAAATTACATAGCCTGCTCTTTCTCAAAGGATCATTTTAATAAATGATTGCTTAAGTCTATAATTTACAGTGGAGACTATTGTCTCTTGTCATGATAATTAAGCCAATGGATCCTGCTATTCTATTAGTTAACCCACGTCTATTTTATAACTGTGTTGTTTTATAAATTTTCTAATCCTTAAATGTCAGTAGTCAGCATATTGCAAGATCTGAATAAAAAAGACAATTTATGCTCTTCCCTGAAATGTTAAATTATTTTGAGCTGTGCTGTAGAAATATGCAGGTGCTCAATCTATAGGCCGAGCTTAGTAAATGGCTATGAAGTAAAGTTTTTAATAAACACGTGATACTATGGATACACTGCAGTATTTATTTATTATATATTCTTCATAATGAGAAAAATCTCCAGGATCAGGCACATGCTTGGGAATCCATAAAAGCATATTTAACTTTTGAAGGACTTCTTATTCAAAAGTAGAAAATATAAGGAAATAACATTAATCTACCAATTAATGTAAGTTCCTCTCATTTCTAAATGAGGAATCCAGTACTAAGTCTCCAGAATATCCCCAGGTAAACACTACCTGGCAGAAATGACTCTGCCCTGCCTGCAGCACGAGGTAAAGGGGTGAGCGAAAGCAAACCGCACACCAACGGCACAATACTCACTGCGAAATACATTTCTAGATTTTCAATGCGGGAACCTTTACATGGCACTGTCTTAGGGAATGGCCTACGATAACAGCGACCACTTTTATTCCAATGCAATCGGACACTTTCAAGTACACAATTACTGAATGAAACGCAGGTCTCCTTCTGCAAAGATGCTCGAGGTGCAGCTGTGTGGGGAGATTCTGGAGGGGCACGCTGTGTAAACTTCAGACCGGATTATTATACCTGCAACACCTCACTTAGAAATACTCTCCAAGAATGTGTGTGCTGCTACAGCGTGGCCTATGATGTGCACCAAGTGTTTTTGTTTTTTCCTTCATATGCAAGCAAATGTTTATTTAGAAAGTTGCAGAGGCAGAAGAGGGCCAGCTGGGCTCTGTGAGCTCAGAAAACAAGCTACAGAGGCAAAAGAATGGCCCTTGGAGTTTAGGAGAAAGAAAGCAAAGAGACACCCCTAAAGGAAGAAGGTGTGTGTGTGTGTGTGTGTGTGTGTGTGTGTGTGTGTGTGTGTGTGAGAGAGAGAGAGAGAGAGAGAGAGAGAGAGAGAGAGAGAGAGAGAGAGAGAGAAGAGGGAGAGAGAACTAAAGTGTTTTTTCAATCAAGGAAATGATATAGCACATAGGGACATTATTTTCTTGCATGTCATACAGAGCATGTTGATTTATTTTTTACAAAACTTATATTCCTCTTACATATGTGAGGAATTGAACATAATCTTTGGCATATAAAATTCATGTGTTTTGGCCTGGGGTTGAAAATTTACTTTCTACTTATCAATGCCCATAAGGTTTCCTGTTGTCAATTCTCTTACACACATTGAAACTTTATTATCAGTTTTCATTAATCGTCCACAAGTTTTGCTTATTGGGTCAATCCTGCCAAAGGCATCTACACACCGAAGGGGCACTTTCTAGGTGAACAACAACCTCTAGCTAAATTACATGTTTTCAGTCTAACTGTTCTCAGCAAATATGAAGAGAGTATGTTTGAAACCTTTTAAAATATATACAAAAAAATAAAAGTTCACTTGAACAATATTCATTTATACCAAGCCCCAAACTTTTCTTTTTCTTTATTTCCACAAATTTTGTCCCACTTATGGTTAAACGCATAGTGTATTATGGTGTCACCCTGTATTTTTAAATGACATTTTTCTTGGCACAACATATTTTCCAAGCCAAATAAGAAACTTACGTGTTTGAATTTGGAATCAAAGATAGGCCTGCTGGTGCCCGACCTACAGGTTAGGTGCCTAATTATTTGTTTGCTGGCTTCGGTCTTTCCAGACCCTCTTTCCCCACTGAAAGAAAACAGAGAAAAAAACACAAGTTTACTGTTTTTGGAAACTGTAGTAAAAAATTAATAACCACAGATAATTCTCCAGCATGATGACAGGAGGGAACAACATAACTTTCAATGAATTTATGGTATCTTTTTACTCTTTAATTCGATTCATTCATTCAAATCATAGTGAATATCTCCTGTGTCAGGTGCCCTATGGGGTCTAGATGCCGGACTATAAATGAACAGGCTGCAACCTCTGCCATCCAAAACCTTACAGTGCAGGAACATGTAACCTACGTGTGAGGTGGAAAGAGCCACCATCAACTGGTCCTCAGCTTGTAAATGACAGTAGTGAGGTGGAGCCAAGTGATAGCCCTCTGCCCTGGAGGTGCATGCATCCTCGTCCTAGAGTCACTCGGCCTGGCTTTGTGAAATCTTCCTGCACCTTCCCGACAAGACATTACATCTTCCATCTTTCTGAGCTTTCCTTCTCTTTTCTTCTGAATGAATATAAAGTGTGCAGCTGCTAAAACTAAGTTGCTAAGATAACAGAGGTGAGCAAAGCACTGACCCTCAGCAGACCCTAACAGGGCCCATTTTCTCTTGAGGCTGCTGTCAGTTTGGACAGACCATGTTTCCCATTGTCCTTTAACCTAGGAACAAGCACTGACCAACTTGTTATTTTTAATGATATTTCCCAGGCATACTTCACATCTTACCTAATTCCTATAAATAATTACTGTATTATACTCCTGAAATTAGACAATTTAGTATTAAAATTCTAATATAATAATTGCCATACCAAAGCGGTCTGATATAAAATAAAGTTTTTAGTACATCCAGATAGAATACTTTCATCTCTTAGCCTTTTATCTCTGAATCAAAAAATTTAATATATATATATATATATATATATATATATATATATATATATATATATACTAGTGTTTTCTCAGGTTTTTCCCTTAAAGTTTTGTTCTAATGAATTTGATTAAAGGGGGTTTGCCAGAAAAGAAGCTGAACTTTCATTACTTTATTCAGGTCTCAGGTTGTTAACAAATGCTTCTCCCCTTATCCATGCTGCCTGCAAACATTTTCACCACTTTTAGAACAAGCGCCCCCACGTCCTCAGCAGAGCAGGGGACAGTGACCTGCACAGGACAAGCTGCTCCTTTTCTGGGTTCAAAGAACTTTGCCTTTAACTTTCTAATTTCAGAGAAGAAGCAATCCAGACCTTTCATGGTGGAAATTTAATTTCTATAATTATATTTATCGTTACTAAAATTCTACTTCCCAGCAAACTGATTAGATGTTTCAAGAATCTTTTTCTTTTTAATAGAGATTTTGCTTGCATTCACTCAGGAATAAATCTTGAAAATACCATATCCCTTTTTTAAATATTGCTCATTCTTTCAAATGAAAGTCACTAAGGACCTACTATGTGCCCGAGGCTTAAGAGGTAAAGAAGTGAAAACACTTCTTTCTGTGCTAGCTTCCCAGGGTACTCTCAATAAACACTACGCACAGAAATGCCACATAATTAAAACACGGTGGGCAATGCACCCAAAGGTGGAGGAGTAAGTATATCTCCTACAGGGAACCAGGGACGACATCTGGATGAGGCAGAAGTTGAGCTGATCCTTGGAGAAGGAGTAGCATAGAAGGTAGCATTTATTTGGCATTAATACTCAATAAATATTCCTTGAGCTTCTGTTAAGCAAGCTGAAATAGGTGGCGAGTGCAGATTGGTGAATGGGGCAGAAATAGCCCCTGTGAATATGGAGACACGGAGGCCTGTGAGGTATGGGGGCTGACCTAGTGGTCACAGAGTCCCTTCTCTGCTCCCACAGTTGCATTGTCAGACAAGGAGCAGGGAAGGTCAGAGCTAAAAATCACACATATTTTAATTCTCTCATTAAATCTAAGAATAGACACATTTCACTTAAACTGAGTAAAATACAAGGAAATTTTTTAAAAAGGAGAGAGAGATGGGTTAGGACAGTCTTGGCTCCATAGGCGATCACTTTAAAACTAAAATTTCTAGTTCAATTTCTTCAAGAAATATTTTTTTATCTCAAAATCTAAGTCTATGGTTAAACTGGAAGTTGACCAGATATTTGGGGTTATCCTAATCATGGGCCCACAATAATGCTTCAGCTTATCCGAACAGCCTTGTCTGCTAAATCTGTTCATGACTGAGGCAGACCCTGTACTGCTTATCCCACAAGCTACTTGTGTGTACAGCAAATAGCATTAATTTAGATTTGCTCAGCATAGGGCTAGGATAGTGGCTATTTGTCACAGATGTTCAAACAATTAATTAAACCCATCTCACAAGGCTTTAGGAAGTCGAAGGGAAGGCAGATCATGGTAGACTTTGGACTCTCAATTATAGCCCAGGAAAAATAGCTGAGAATTATTAAAAACCTTTCCTCAAGATAAGACCTAGTGTGCCACCGGGGCCTATATTACCAACAAAATGAGAATTAAGAATAAAATTTGGAAATAACATTTTCCTGGCCTAGCACTAACTTACAGAATTCCTATTCTAGGAATACGTAGGTTTTGATCCCAAATCTTAAAAATCGTCTGTTGCATATGCTAGTTATGGGACATATAGACACCAAATAAGGGAACTTTATAGGCAGTGTGTTTAGTTGAATTCTAAATGTATTAATGTTAATGTATTACTATAAATATAGAAAGTTTTTATATTAGTCAAGATGATCAAGGAGGTAGAGAAGCTACATAAAACACTAATCTTGAAAGAAGACAGAATGACTATACAAATAATTCCTTGTGATCACAGATTTGTTCTTCAATTCTGGATGCCAGGACTAGGTGATACTCTTAAAACTTAATAAAGAAATCTTTCTTTCAGAATAGGTGGTTCATACATCACCATTTATTAATTCACATTATTGGGCTCATATCCCCAATTCACTATTTACTAATTATAATATGCTAGACTAATTAGTTAAACTTTCTAATACTTAGTCACCTGATATGAAAATGGTGGTAAGAATAATACCTATCAATAGGTTGCTAAAGTGATGAATATGATAATACATAGAAAGCATCTAGCACTTAGTAATTTCTCAATACATATTACTTGTTATTATTGTTAACACTGCCAAACATTCCTCTCAATCTCATAATTTTTTGAAAGTGTTCCCTTTTTGTCACAGTAAGACCGGAAAACACAATAGATGAGGCAAATAAACATAGAGCTGCTTGATTCAAGAATGGATGGGGCCACCCTCCAGGGCCTCCCTTACCCAGGGACGTTTTGGAACAAGTGCAAAAACAACTACTTACTTATATGTTGTTTTGTAAATGAGAACACTAATGTTTGCCACCCATCAATCTGAACCTCCATGACCTTTTTTTAATCAAATTGACAATGTGAAAGTACATAAATAATGCTTATTTAAATCTTTAAATTGTCTCTGGGTTCTCTCCAGCTTTCCTTCTTTACATGCCATCATTTCACTGTGGCTGCAGGTGTGCAATGGTTTATTTACAGGGTCAGTTTTCAACCAACATTATGGGCCAGAACTCAGGGAAAGCCATGAGTATAGAAACCCCTCCTTTAGAGGTTTCTCCTAATGTCAAACATGATTCTCAATGCAGATCTTATTGCGATGCCTAAATATTTAATTTTATATCAAAACATAATCACATTTCACCTCTAACTCTGTAAGATTTTTTTTTTTTTTTTGGTGTAAAGAATGTTTGCTCCAATATAAATCATCCTCCTGATCTTCGTATTTATGGGCTAATGTTACCATTACATTCCAATAAAAAAAATACTTCGCAGTGTATAATTTTGGTAAAATATGAGCAAAAGTAAATACCTAGAAGCAGGAGGGAAAACCCACAGTTGCAAGCTAATAATTTTTATTTTGTTTTTTTTGGGCAGCACCACGATGTGGAGAACTGTGGAACAGGTTCACTAACATCAGATGCTTTTCTTCCCCCATGTGTTCTAAGGTTTGAAAGCAAAAGCACTCTGGTTTGAAGTTGTAAATCTTCAAAATGAACTGAGTTGCAGGTTAAGTTGCTGATATTGATCCAGCCACACTTGGGGCTATTTCCAACAACAAAGACATTTCTCCTTTGTAAGAAATCAACGATATACTGGACTGCAACCTGCCCAGGAAGTAAACAGATGTAAACCATAATAGATGCAGACATTTTTACAGCCAAGGCCTCAGGATGGGGTGCAGCATGGGTTTACCTGAGAACGAAGCACTGGGGCCGCTGCTCCTGGAACAGCTGGTACACGGCCCGCTCCGCACAGGAGAAAATGTGGGGTGGCAGGGAGGAGCAGGGCTGCCCCGTGCTGCTCCGGTACAGCTGGGAGACCTGGAACACAGTGCAGCATAGACAGACATCTCTGTAAAAAGGCTTCAGGACACTGTCCCACATGACTCAGCTGACTTCACTCCAAAACATGAAAGTGAATTTATCTCCGATTTTGAACCCCATTTGTAACTACAAAACATTTGTCAAATTATGCCCCTTTTCAGCACATTGGAAGCATTCATAATGATAAAATGGAGACATAGTTGATCCTTCATAACTAGGTTCACAGGCTTTAAATTATTCAGCTGTCTTTAAAAAGAGCAACTCACAAAAATACCGTTTAATAGGTAAACAAGAAGTGAATGGGAACTGTGGTGATTTGCATCAAATACAATTTCTCTGCATCATCTAATTTCAGTCGCAGGAGATAGAAAGGATTTTTAATTTGAATAGAAGGCAGTTGCCACTGAAACACATATGAATTTATAAATTTCTCAGAAAAACAAATTTTTAATTAACTTAATTTCAGTGACAGTGATTTATGATGATTGCCATGATGATTCAGTGCCAGTATTTTCATGACTTTTGCGTTTCTAATGAATCCACTGACATGTGAATACATTTTAAATGATAGAATGACTTGTGGGGCATGAAAAAATATCAGGCAAACAATTTTTACTTTATAAAATAAGTGGCCTATTTCTTCAAAGATGTCAAGACTGGGAAGTTCAATAGAAAACTGAAGCACTGCTCCAGACTGAAGATTCGGGAGCCTGGTGGACCCATCCTTGTGCCCTGTACGGTGGCCTGGACTGTGGACTATCTGCTCATTACTGGACAATGGCCAAAACTCCCAGGAGGCCTATTCATCAGGTGATGACAGTACCTCTGTAGAAACTCCCTATTTTTGATGGTTATATGGAGGGTAGATAAAAAAAATGCCTTCGTTTGCAGAAAACGCACAGTACATGCCTTCAACCTTGATACGACCACATGCCAGCAAATTATTTGAAAATGGTTGAGGAAAAAAGTTGTTAGTACTATTAGTCTGCAAATTTTCCATTAGTGTTACATGATTTAAAATTATAGAGGAAAAGAATATTTGACAGTTGAATAAATAATCTGCAGTTATAAGACAATTAGAATCTCGCAAATATCATGGTGCCTGGCATCTATCAGGTACCTAAGAGAATATACTGTAAGATCCATTTACATAAGGTTTACTCAAAGTAATCGAGGCTGTTCGTGGTCAGGTCAGGGGGACCTTGGGCAAGGTGTGAGCAGTGATGAGAAAGGAGCAAGAATGAGGCTTCTGGAGTGCTGGTCACCTTTGCATCTGAGAGCTCAGGAACATTGATTATTCTGTACACTTAGAAATGAGCACTTTCCCATATGCATTATATCTCGACAAAAATTTCAAAAAGCTAAAGTCATTAAACACTGTGGATCTGGCCCAGATACTAGAAGAAGAGATCCCTACAGAACTAACTCAAGATGCACATGCATGGGGAATTGGTACATGGCAGGTTTCTGCATCACTGATCAGTATAGTAAAGAGTAGTGCTGAGAAAACTGACCATGTATTTGTAAAGGAAACAAACGTTGAATTCTATATCATGCCACATGTAAACATAAATTCCAGATGAATCTAAGTCACAAATATAAACAGCAGACTTAAGTAATTTACTTTTAACATTTTTTATTCATTGATTCATTTTAAAGAGAGATAGAAGAAGAAAGGGAGAGAAAGAAAGAGGAGCATCGATTTGTTGTTCCACTTACTTTTTGTATTCATTGGTTGATTGCTGTATGTGCCCTGACTGGGGATCAAATCTCAACCTTGGTATATTGGGATAATTCTCTAACCAACTGAGTAGACAGAGCAAAACTTAAATAATTTAGGCAAGTATATGAATAGTGCTATCATGATTTGGGTAAGAAAATGAGGGTCACAAACACATTTATAATGGCAATGATGGGTCAATCTCACAACATTGCATTTAACAACTCCTGTGCAACCACAAACACTATAATAATAAAACAAAAAGTCTAAGCAAAGCCAGAGAAGAGAATGAATTGTGCAAATAACCAATTATCATTATTTTCTAAATGATTCTTAAAAATCAATGAGAAACCTGGAAATGAAAGAAAAAAAAATTGGGCAAAGAATATAAATGAAAATAAAATGGCCAATAAATATGAGAAAATATGCAGAAACTCTGGTAAGCAGGCAGTGCCATCCTATATAATAAAAAGGTAATATGTAAATTGACTGTCACACCCTCGTACAAGATGGCCACCCCCATGTGGTCACAAGATGGCCACCACAAGATGGCCGGCAGGGGAGGGCAGTTGTGAGGCAACCAGTCCAACAGGGGAGGGCATTTGGGGGCAACCAGGCCTGCAGGGGAGGAAGGGCAGTTGGGGGCAACCAGGCCGGCAGGGGAGCAGTTAGGTGTTGATCAGGCTGGCAGGGGAGTGGTTAGGGAGTGATCAGGCTGGCAGGCAGATGTGGTTAGGGGGAATCAGGCAGGCGAGCAGTTGGGAGACAGCAGTCCCAGATTGTGAGAGGGCTGTCCCACAGGGATCAGGCCTACACCGGCAGTTGGACATCCCCCGAGGGGTCTCAGATTGGAGAGGTCTGGGCTGAGGGACAACCCCCCCCTCCAGTGCAGGAATTTCATGCACCAGGCATCTAGTTTCAAAGAATAAGGAAATATATTACACATAAAATATGAGCATGTTTATTATAGACTAGAGGCCCGGTGCACAAAAATTTGTGCACTCGGGGGGCAGGGGGAGGTCCCTCAGCCCGGCCTGTGTCCTCTCGCAGTCTGGGACCCCTCGGGAGATAACGACCTGCTGGCTTAGGCCTGCTCCCGGGTGGCAGAGGGCAGGCCTAATCCCTAGGTGCAGCCCCTGGTCAGGCTTAGAGCAGGGCCGATTGGGGAGTTGAGGTGCCGCCCCGTCATGCACAGAGCAGGGTGGATTGGGAGGTTGTGATGCCACCCTCAGTCATGCTCAGGGTAGGGCCGATTGGGAGATTGGGGCACCTCCCCCTGTCACACTCAAGGCAGGGTCGATGGGGAGATTGCAGCGCCACCCCCTGTCACGCACAGAGCAGGGCCCATCAGGGGGTTGCGGCGCCACCCCCTGTCACGCACAGAGCAGGGTGGATCAGGGGGTTGGGGCCCCGCCCTCTATCACCCACAGAGCAGGGCCGATCAGGGGGTTGGGGCGCCGCCACTCTCACACTCAGGGCAGGGCCGATGGGGAGGTTATGGCTCTACCCTGTCACACACAGAGCAGGGCCTGTGGGGGTGGGGGGGGGGGCGCCACACCCTGTCACACACAGAGCCGCAGGGCGATCAGGGGGTTCGGGCGCCACACCCCGTCACACACAGAGCTGCAGGGCAATCAGGGTGTTAGGGAGCTCCCCCCTATCAGGCACAGAGCAGGGCTGATCAGGGGGTTGGGGTGCCTTCTCCTGTCACGAACAGAGCAGGGCGGATAGGGAGGTTGTGGCCCCGCCCCCTGTCACACACAGAGCCGCAGGCGATCAGGGGGTTTGGTCGCTGCCCCTTGTCACGCTGATCCCGGTGCCGGGAGTCCTCACGGCTCCGCTGATCCCGGTGCTGGGAGGCATATTACCCTTTTACTATATAGAATAGAGGCCTGGTGCATGGGTGGAGGCTGGCTGGTTTGTCCTGAAGGGTGTCCTGGATCAGGGTGGGGGTCCCGACTTGGGTGCCTGGCCAGCCTGGATGAGGGGATGATGGCTGTTTGCAGCTGGTCACACACCCTTCAGGGTGGGGGTCCCCACTGGGGTGCCTGGCCAGTCTGGGTGAGGGGCTGAGGGCTGTTTTCAGGCTGGGACTGAAGCTCCCAACCGCTCCTGTTTTCTTTTTTTTTTTTTATTCTGGGCCAGCTTTAGCTCTGAGGCTTGGCTCCAGCTCTGAGGCCTCAGCTGCTGAAAGTAGGTATCTGGTTTATTTAGGTTCTATAATCGAAACTCTGTATCAACTCCAGCTCTGAGATCCCGGCTCGCTGAAAGCAGGTTTCTGGGGTTTCGTTTAGCTTCTATATTTGTTACAATGTTCAAACTGCAGGCTCAGAGGCCGGCAAGGCAGCGGGGAATGTTGGAGTCCTCCGTCACTGAAGCAAGCAAGCCTCATGTTCAGTTTAAGCTGCCTGGCTGCCGGCCGCCATCTTGGCTGGCAATTAATTTGCATATCACCCTGATTAGCCAATGGGAAAGGTAGCGGTCATACGCCAATTACCATGTTTCTCTTTTATTAGATAGGATAGTTAATACTAGTAATGATGGCTTATACTTGCTATTGGCTTGCTGCTGTTCTTAATGCTTTATACTCACTCTCTTATCCATTCCTCCCAGAAACCCAGGAATTGTGTATGATAATCATCTTCTTTTTATAGATATAGAAACTGATGCAAAGTTTTAGTGCTCCTAGGTCATATGGTTAGTTAGTGGTGGAGGTTGATTTCCTGTCAACCATGTAATTTCCTGTCTTTTAGGGAAGTTGAATACATTTTTATCTTTGTAAACTCAACTGGGCTGTTTTCTCAGCTTGGTATTATAATACATTGTATGTTTTCTGAACACAGCATTCACTCTGTCATATCAGTTGTAGCAATGGGGTGGACAACGTTGGTGCTATTCACCATTTCCAGTTATTTCAACTGCAGGATCACCTTATTAGCTGCTTCCAAGGATTTATTAGAGTCCGCAGCTCTTCTTTATTTATTTCAACAGGATACAGTTTGACTTCATTTTATTTTATGTTTAAGTGAAGGTCTAAAAGTTGAGTTTGTAATGTAGCAATCTTGTCACAAGAAAGTGTAAGCTTTAAGTGCCAATCAAAATCCTGCAACTGTGCAGAGGAAATATCAACTATTTCTTCTAACCGAGCCTGATTAATTTCATCTTTTCTACTTTTCAAGCATTTCATGATAGCATCTTGATTAAATGAATTTGACTGATTCAATTGCTGAGATAACTCCTCATCAGATACATTTTTACCAACTACAGCTTTGAAAAA